AAAAAAAAAAAAGAAGAAGAAGCACCAGAGGGTGAAAGAACCTGGTGTACTACTGGAACAGCTAAGGATTCAGCCTGGCTAAGGCAGTGGTTCTCATCATTAGATACTCATCAGAATTACTTCAAATCCAGGTTGTACCTGTGGCTCAAGGAGTAGGGCGCCAGCCCCATATGCCAGAGGTGGTAGGTTCCTAAACCCAACCCTGGCCAAAAAAACTGCACCAAAAAAAAAAAAAAAAAAGAATTACCTCAAATCTACTAAATCAGGATTTTATTTTTTTGAGACAGAGTCTCACTTTGTCACCCTTGGTAGAGTGCTATGGAGTCATAGCTCACAGCAACCTGAAACTCTTGCCTCAGCCTCCCAAGTATCTGGGACTACAGGCACCAGCCACAGTGCCCAGCTATTTTTAGAGATGGGGTCTCACTCTTGCTCAGGCTGGTCTCAAATCCGTGAGCTCAGGCAATCCACTCACCTCGGCCTCCCAGAGTGCTAGGATTATAGCCGTGAGCCATGGTGCCCAGTATCTAAGTCAGGAATTCTAAGGTTAATCCTATTAAATTTCCCAGCTTACAGTAAAAATCATCATGGAGGAGAACTACAGCATAAAGTGCATAGGGCAGAGAGACAGGTGGAGAACAAACACTGACACAGTATGGCTCTTAATGCCAGGCCATTAGAGGTAGGTTTTTTTTTTTAATTCTTTTTTGTTGTTGTTGTTTACTTAGAGGTAGATTTTCTTTTCTTTTTTTCTATTTTGAGACTCTGTTCCCCAAGGTAGAGTGTGGCAATGTCATCATAGCTCACTGAGCATTGAACTCCTGGGCTCAAGGGATTCTCCTGCTGTAGACTCCTGAGTAGCCAGAACAACAGGCATGCATTACTACACCTGGATAATTTTTTATTTTTTGTAGAGATGAGGTTTCTCTATGTTGCTCAGGCTAGCAGAGGTGGATTTTGTCCTCTGTGCTGAGGTCATGCAGTGTCCAGTCACTGCCAGTTGAAGAAGTGCAACTAGACATTGGAGACTGGAGTCATTGGGAGCATCCTGAGGACGTACTTGACCTCTAACAGGGTCTGTTGGAATGAGGGTAAATCATTGTCTAATGATCCACAGCTAATGCCAGGGACAAACTGACCCTTTACCTCTACTTGCTACACTGTATTTCCAGCACCACCTAGTCTACTCTCTGGCACTTCTGTACCAGCATTGTCCTGGATGTGGGCAAGAGACGTTGAAGAGAATAGGACAAGAAGTTCTATTCTTGGAAATATCTATTAACTTAAGGAATAAATAAATGAATGATTAACTAATTTGCAAAGACAAGAGACACTGAAGAGGCTTTCCTTCTGAAAGAGTAAATGCCTGGAAAACGACCAAGGTCTACCTCGCCCAGGGACCCCAGTCGTGCCCACGGGGCTTGCTCACCTGGAACGGTGCGATGCTGGGAAAGCTGACATCGATAACCAGCACGCCAGGCCGTCCGTGAGAGGTCCGCACGTCGCCCACCTGCAGGGCTACGGTACCTTTCACATGGCAGGGCACCGACACCCGAGACATGATGCCCCCCAGACGCTACCTGCCGCCACCACAACTCGGGGCCCAAACTGCAGTCCTCGACACCCCCCACGCCTAGCCTAATGAACTACAATTCCCGTGAGGCCTTACGCAGCGTCAGCCCAACCAATCACCGATGAACAGAGTAGGCCAAGAGTCGGAAGTGCGGGCGGAAGTTCTCCCTCAGCCAATAACCGCCCAAGCTTTAGAGCCCAGCCCAACTCGGTCCGCGCCCAGCAACTGTCGCGTTT